TCCCTATAGAGCTGCCTTACTCATTCCCGCTCTCCTGACTCCCCAAGCTCCTCTTCTTTGTCGTCTTTTATCTCCGTCCCGCAGCCTGCAAGCTTCAAGGCTTATCGCAAGCCACATCACGTGGAGATAACTAGTTATGGAAGACCCCTGACCCCGTGACTTGGCGATCACCTGCAGTCTCCATGGCTCATCAAGGTTGAAGCTCTGGAAAGCTTGAAGAAGAATGTTGTTTTACGCCCTCGAGCTTTGATTCATAGCACCTGGAGACATCTACTTGGGCCAGATAGGATGCGGCGTGCGCTCCCGAGCTGCCCCAGATGGATGACGAACATACTAACGGCGAGGACCACCATGATCGGCCTCGACCGCAGAGCAACTACCGCAGCAGCTTCATGCGGAGCAGGTACCGTTCTCGTTACCCATCTTGCTTTGAGAATGATAGTATAGGCTAATGACTTAATAGGACGAGCCTGCTGTCCGATGTAGAAATGGCACAAGAAGAAGTGAGCTGGGCAATCCATGCATTTCGGAAGGAAAACAATCGGCTAATGACCACACTTTCAGGTTTATGCCGGCCCTATATCTGAGAGCATTCCCTCAAGCGTTGCATCCTTCGTGCGTCGTCGTTCCCGTCGTGAATCGAATGTCAGTTTTACCTACTTTCAGGAGAATAACGGATCCTTTGTATGGCCGGATGACCGTGATGAGGAAGCGGTTATCGAACCGGACCAGCTTGAAAACGGGGACCTACGTATCCATCGTATTCGTTCGGACGAGCATGATGATCACACCCTCGAGCGAGACCATGAAGATGACCAGGAAGCCGATGTTGAGACTCCCTTCCGCCCCTCTAGCTATTTTGGTCCGACCCCTTCGCATGACTCTGCTGAAGACCCCTTGCTTTGGCGCCGTGCATCTTCCACTGACCACCATCGTGGAGGGAAGACATCAGACGGTATTATCAGCCAGAAGATATACATTGCCTCCGAGGACCTTACCGCCGCTATTGCAGGGTTCTCAACCAGCATGGCCGGCTTGGCTACGTACCTTGCCATCTGCGTTTTCACTTGTGGTCTCGGCTATCTCATCTTTAGATGGGTCCCGAAATGGCGAGTGTCGTTGATAGGTACTCCAACACCACTGTATAAGTGTCAATGGGTCGCTATTGAAAACCAATGGGGCCAATTCAATATACAGGATATCCAGAATCAGCCGTACGGGCGCCAACTCTCCACCGTTTTTGGGAGGGGAAACAAAGAAGGTACTGCTACTAACTACGAGTATGATGATGATCCTATAATGCCAAATTTACGATATCTGGATTACCATTACGTTCGGTTCTTCTATCAACCCGTGCAAGACAGGTTTAGTATTAGCGGGACTTGGGCGGACCCTGCATGGGCTGATGTGAAACTCCTACGCCGTGGATTGGATGCAGACGAAAGAGAGAGCCGGGAGCAAGTGTTCGGCGCAAATATTATTGACATCCAGGCCAAGACTATTCCACAGATACTGCTGGATGAAGTATGCATTTCCTATAACTTTGACCACTTCTTAAAATTCATCTAACTAATATCTCGCCAGGCATTCCACCCTTTCTATATCTTCCAGATTGCGAGCTTGACCCTTTGGTCAATGGATGAATACTATTATTATGCCACTTGTATTTTCTTTATCTCTGTGTTCAGCATAACGGCAACCGCCATCGAAACCAGATCAGTACGTTACTCCCCATATTTAGGAGATTGCCAATTACCTACATACTAACATTTCAGACAATGCGACGCTTGCGTGAGATTGCACACTTTGAGTGCGAGATACGAGTGTTAAGAAGCGGATTCTGTAGGTTGACTAGGATTCCGGGGTTATACCTAATTCTAATGTTATTTTTTTTTGCCTACTAATAGGGACAACTGTACCTTCAACTGAGCTGATACCTGGCGACGTGTTCGAGATTTCCGACCCATCTCTAACTCAAATACCCTGCGACTGCCTCCTACTCTCTGGTGACTGCATTGTCAACGAGAGCATGCTAACAGGTTCGAGCTAACTTTTTATCTTCGTAACCCAGATACAGTTAGCTAATGATTTTCAACAGGAGAATCTGTTCCCGTCTCAAAATTTCCTGTAACTGACCATTCTCTAGCCCAGCTAAATCTAGCTGCAACTTCGGTTGATCCAGGAGTTGCCAGGCATTTCTTGTTCTGTGGCACAAAGCTTATTCGTGCCAGACGGCCCCAAGATCCCGCAGATGATGAAGCAGCTGCTCTCGCCATGGTCGTGCGGACAGGCTTCAACACTACGAAGGGTGCCCTGGTTAGGTCAATGCTGTTCCCTAAACCATCAGGTTTCAAATTCTACCAGGACTCTTTCCGGTACATTTCCGTGATGGCCACCGTTGCAGCTGTTGGATTTATTGTTTCGTTTGTCAATTTCATTCGACTAAAGGTGAGAATTTTGTCCTTACCCCGATTGGCAACTGTGGTTAATATTTGTCTTAGATTGTTTGGCACACGATTATTGTTCGGGCACTTGACCTTATTACCATTGTCGTGCCTCCAGCCTTACCCGCAACTCTTACAATTGGAATCAACTTCGCCATATCCAGGCTCAAATCCCAGCAGATATTTTGCATAAGTCCACAAAGGTACCTTCTAGACAGGAGCTTCTTTGTATACATGTTACTAATTTTAATAGGGTTAATGTTGCCGGAAAGCTCGATGTTGTCTGCTTTGATAAAACTGGAACTCTAACTGAAGATGGCCTTGATGTACTCGGGGTTAGACTCAGTCATCAACGGGAACAAAGGCGGGTTTCCCTACCATAAAATTAAGATGTAAACTAATCGAATTTTCAATACAGGTTCAGCGATCTTCTAACAGATGCCTCACTCATTTTACCTCAGTTACGCTCTGATCGGGATCCTACCCAGGATTACGGCCCAAATACGGCCATTCTTTACACCATGGCGACCTGCCATTCGCTAAGGATGATAGACGGAGAACTCATAGGCGACCCTCTGGATGTTAAGATGTTTGAATTTACAGGCTGGTCCTACGAAGAAGGTAGCCACAACACTGCAGAAGTATATGAGGATTATGAAAATATCTCTCCATCTATTGCAAGATCTCCGCTCAATTTTGCTCCTCCAAATGATACCGGACCAACACTTGTGAGTTTGTTATCATTACTAGGATCATGAGTGCAATTCTAACCTGATATCTAGGAAGCAAGTAATGCTACTGAGTTATCCATCCTTCGCATTTTTGAATTTGTCTCTCAACTCCGCCGAGCTAGTGTTGTAGTGCGCCAACCAGGTAGTGATGGAGTTGACATATTCGTTAAAGGGGCCCCAGAGTGCATGAAAGATATATGCATTCCTAAAAGCTGTGAGTACTTATGCGCTTGAACATGCACGCATACATTCATTACTAACTCCCAACCTAAGTGCCACCCGACTTTTCTGAACTCCTGAATTACTACACCCATCGCGGGTTCCGAGTTATTGCCTGTGCAACCAAACATATCCCGCAGTTTTCACTTCGAGACATCTTTTCCATGAGTAGGGCGGATGCCGAATCAGACCTTGAATTTATTGGCTTCATCATCTTTGAGAACAAACTAAAGCCTACTTCGAAGGGTGTTATTACCGAGCTACATGAAGCTGGTATTCGCAGTGTAATGTGTACGGGCGATAATATTTTGACAGCCGTCAGCGTGGCAAGGGAGTGTGGCTTTGTTGAGGGCGCCGCCCCTTGTTTTGTTCCTTACTTTGTTGAGGGTAAGCTTCCACTCCGAACCATTTAATGATGTTATGCACTAACAGGAAACAAGGGTGCTCCTCGGACCCAGACGCTCGTCTTTGCTGGCAGAGCATCGATAACCCCGATCACCAGCTTGATGAGAATACTTTAACGGTATAGCTCTTGACCCTTGTTTCTGCCGGAACCCTCCAGTTTTCTCTTCTTATCTAACTTCCAATAGCCGCTTCCGCATAGCTCAGTGACAGACGTGTCCGTTCCTTATAATCACTACAATAAAATGACCTACGCCATTGCAGTAACCGGAGATGTGTTTCGCTGGGTTGTTGACTATGGCTCCGAAGGGGTGCTGAATAGGGTACGTTCTGCTCTCTCCATAATCTGTGTATGAACAATGCCGCTAAGATAGAACAGATGCTCGTTCGTGGTCAAGTTTTTGCTCGAATGTCCCCTGATGAAAAGCATGAGCTTGTTGAGAAGCTTCAATCCCTTGACTACGGTTGTGGATTCTGCGGGGATGGTGCCAACGACTGCGGTGCTCTTAAGGCCGCAGACGTGGGCATATCTCTTTCTGAAGCAGAGGCTTCTGTGGCTGCCCCATTCACCAGTAGGATCTTCGATATATCATGCGTTCCAAAACTCATCAGGTATGTCAACGCACTTGCCATCAATCTATTTGATTTCCGCTAATATAAATCTAGGGAAGGAAGGGCAGCGTTAGTTACAAGCTTTTGCTGTTTCAAGTACATGAGTCTTTACTCTGCCATTCAGTTTACTTCTGTCAGCTTCCTTTACGCGACTGCTTCGAACCTGGGGGATTTCCAGGTAAGTCTTTAAGCTCAATGGTTTCCCCTTCTGTTTAGTTGAGCGGTTCTAACTGTATGGGTATAGTTTCTCTACATTGACCTGGTGATAATTTTGCCTGTGGCTATATTCAGTAAGTCAATGCCGACACTAAAATGAATACAATACATGACTAACTCTAACTCTTCGTAGTGGGGTGGATTGGTGCCAGTCCAGTTCTATGCCGCAAGAGACCAACTGCAAATCTTGTTTCACGGAAGGTCTTGACTCCTCTGCTTGGACAAATTCTTATATGCATTCTCATTCAAGCCACTGCATATGAGACTGTGCAAATTCCTGAATGGTAAGGATTATATACCTTTTAACCGTTGTCCTTATTCTGCCTTTAGTACTGACGACTCTTAGGTATATCCCACCAAAAATTAGCCATGAGGATACCAACATCAAGAACTCACAGAATACCGCCCTGTTCCTTGTCTCTTGCTACCAGTATGTATTCTCGGGTGTCGTTCTGAGTGCTGGCAGGCCATTCCGAAAGCCAGCAACATCTAATGGTATGTTACCTTCATCCAAATTGACCCTAAAGCAACTGCCAGTGCCTAATGCGATCTCTTAGTTCCGTTCGTGGCCACAATTATCATTATTCTCCTCTTCTCTTCTTATATGCTCTTCCAACCCGCCAAATGGCTGTACAAGCTGATGGAGCTTACATACATGTCCCCTGAGTTCAAGACCTGGATTTTAATCCTTGCATTGGGCGGTTTTGCAGCCGCATGGGTTTGTGAGAACCACATATTCCCCAAACTTGCACGCGGCATTGGACGCTTAAATCGCTGGTTACGTCCACATACGAAAAAGCAACGCCGTCGATACAAGGTCCTGCTTGAGGGCGGTCAATAACAGATAATTGGGCCTTAGTATATATAGATTTTGGCTCATATTTTTGTACATATAGCGGGAACCATCTGCTTGCATTGTTTCTACGATTCGTGCGTTGATACCTTTTTGCCAAACATATATAGCTTGAATAGAGGGCAGTGGTTGAAAGTACGATAGATAGTGTAATTGAATTCCTCCGGTTGAGAAAGCCCTTATCGTTGCTACATCATGTAGTATCCGTAAGCTAAAAGTACCATTGAACAATGCTTTCTATGAAATATATACAACACACGGACCGCAGAAAACGTTATTCTTGGTGATACAAAGTGTTATCGCAAGTTATAGTAGAATTGCCGCGCGAGCAATCCTATCAACAGGGCTTTGCGCTTGCTTCACACTGCCATCTCAGAACCCATGTGTGTGCGGGCGCCGCTCGCAGGGGAATAACACCACTTAGATTCCTTTTCGATAAAATATAGCCGGACAGTAAAAGAGGGCCGAAGAAATGTGCCGAGAGTACTCCGTAATTTAATGATCCCAAGGGTGCTTCCAGCCAAGGAGAACAGGGCCGTCTTTCTTTGCGCGGTACATCAACTAGTTTGAATGTGCCGTGTTAGCTCCTCCACACAAATAAATGTCCATCGACAGCCCAATTCGGTTCTTTGAACAGCTGCGGATATAGATTATGGGAAAAACATACCCAAAACCACATGCTAGCACCAAGAGCAGTTGCAGCGAATCTGTACAGCGGCGGCCCTGGAGGCACCTTGATAGGGTGGTTGTTGGTTGAGGGCATGATGGAGGGACTTCGATTGGTATTCTGCAGCAAAAGAGAATTAGAAAGAGTCAATATGGCGCACTTGACTGCATTTAACACACCTGGATAATCCCACCAGATCACTGAGTTCAGAAATGCGACAAGCTTCCGGTCGTTCGTGATAGTTGCTTCTCTGTCGTCCTTGTAATTCGAGCATTGACTTCCATCACCAGTGCCGGGATTTGAAGATCACGTGATTAAAGCGGATAATACAAAATCCCGGCCATAGTATGATCACATGACATTAATGCACGTGATGTTATGGAAGGGCACGGGCCCTCTCAAAACCGTCTCAGCTTTGAGGCTTTTGAAGCTTTGCAAAGTACTTTGAAGTTTTGTGAATTGACGAAGTATCTGTCTCCGAATTAGTTCCATGTCACAGCCAGTATGCCAGTGTATAAAGTCTACCTACTCTCCAAATACAGGCTTGAAAACCCATCCTTGCTCTTACATTACTTGCGAAACCCACGCATTCGGGCACTAACTTCCTAGAAAAGAGACCTATGCATGCAATCTGGTAGTCCTTTAAATGCGCGTTTGCATCCCTTTTAGCAGTGAAATCCCAAATGTTGGAACATCTCTTGACTTCCATTTTAAGTTCAAAACAAGCAGAGGCTGCCTGAACGGTGGAGAAGATATCCCTTGTACCTAAGGGGTCAAGCTGCAACGCGAAATGCCCAGCAGAAAGATATTAGGAACGGTTGATAATGCAAATTCGCTTCATTGGTAGTTCGGGTCTGCACCCATATTTCATCCAGCCGAGAGAGCCACCAAGCCACATTTGAGTTCGTTCAGCCAAAGCTACCATACCGGCTACCAAGATGCGCCGTCCAGTTTATATTACAATAATCATTCTTCGCCAATCCAATGTATGGAGTACAGCATGCAGATTAAATCCTTTGATCTCAATTTTCAGGTCGATATCCTGCCATGTTGGATACCCGCACTAGCCCACCTTTCTTGTCTAGATCAAGACACGGAGTACAAGTTATTGCTATCCTGTCGCACCATCTTACCATCCCATTATGGTAAACGCCAGCTATTTATATATCAAAGATTCATGGTTACTTGAAACTACAGGGTTAAAGGGAAAGAGAGGAGATCTGCATATGAATTGGCGGGCCAACTAGTCAGCCGGTATTTCAATGGTGACCAACCCCAAAGCTGGTCGGCTCTTTGGCAGATGACTGTTATTCATACGAATGAGAACATGCAGAGATTGACAATCCAGTCACTCCATTCATTTGGTATGCTGTGCAATTAAGCATTCAGCTGTCTCTATATGTGCTGATTGGTTATCTGATATGGGCTTGTTTATCACCCTAACTGGGCTGGCTGAAACCCCCCCGCGTTCCATTATCCGGAATCTCTCATCATCTCACCGTAAAGGGATAATTAATTTATTCAGGCTGCGCCTCTAAAGGGAATTTACAGATGGCTACCCCACTCTGGTATGCTATCAATGGACTGTATGCAGTTTCTCGACCAATTAAATGACATGGGCGGAAGAGCGAATCGAGCCATGGACAGTTTCATACAATCTATATTGTATGCATATATTATCTAGGCCTAAAAAGCTGATTTCTGTCCCAACTTTATACGGTCACACAGGGGAGGGGAGGGCATGGCGATCATGGAAACCGCAAGTTTGGTATTCATTCAAATCATGAAATATCCATGCAATATTCTATAATACGTAGCTACGTGCTATATATACTGCTCTCCGGCCTTGATGGAGATAGGCATTTCTGCCTCGCTTGCATCAGCTACACCACAGCGACCAGAGCAACAAAATGCTTTTGCTATCGGTTTTCACCGTGATTCTCCAGTCAACCTTACTGGTTGTTGCATCCGCGATACCTCCTGGAACCAATGGCCGTCATACAGCAGCGCAAAAAGGCCGCGGGATTAGCATTGCTAGCGAAAGCCAGTATTGCAATGACAAAGCAGTTGAGTTATTCAAAAATAATTTGGAGGCTACTGCAGCGGATGCAGTAAGTCGAATTCCTATGCCATTGAAGCAGCTATCTCAAATAATGAGCCCCGACTTTAATTAATCGCGTTCGTGGCCGCTAGATCATAGCTACTGTTTTTTGCATTGGAACTGTTGGTAGGTGACCTTCCGAGAACCTTGTTTAGAATGCCGTGATATGCTAAAGCTTAAGTAGCAATGTATCACAGCGGAATTGGGGGTGGAGGCTTTGCTCTGGTGAAACATCCAAAGGGCTTTGAAGCTATTGATTTCAGAACAACCGCACCTAGTTTAGCAACCGATGAATACTACGATGACCCTCGCCATGATGTCCATGTAGGGGGTGCATCAGTGTAAGTGTTCTCCTTTCTTCGCTTTTCAAAATTTATATATTCTTCAACCCTTACTAAAACTGCAGAAAGCGGCGTTCCAGGAGAGCTTCGGGGACTCAGAAAGATTTACAAGTATGCAAAATTGGACTGGAAAAAGCTCTTCGGACCCGCCATCCAAGCAGCGAAGGGCGATTTCAAGGCAAATGAAGACTTGATGTACTTTGTCAAACGCGTCGCGAGGGACTTACCTCGTGATCGGGATGCGCTTCCGCCAGATGATAGTTGCGGCTGGTTTAAACAATACCCTTGGAACGAGACATTTTGCCCTGGAGGCCAATTGATATCGGAGGGTACCCCGTTGAACCGGTCGAAATACGCTGAGACACTGGAAGCAATTGCGAATAGTGGGAACGAAGGTACCTTTTACAAGGGAACAATCGCAGATCACACTTATGAAACCCTGAAGGGAAGGTCAAGCTTAATGTCGAAAGAGGACCTGGAGAACTACGAGGCCAAAACGCGAAAGCATGTTAGTATTAACTACCGGGGCCATACGGTTACAAGCACGCCGATACCTACGAGTGGAACGATCGTTCTTAGCATCTTAAAGCTTTTGGAAAAATTCCCTGGTCGACATGGCACTTTCCAACCTGGGACCGATGGACCCAGCACCCATTGGCTGCTTGAAGCCATAAGATATGGCTATGCTCAGGTATGATTACATTACTGCTACCTCTATACACAAACCTGTGTAGTTAACCTGTGCGCTATAGAGATCCAGATTGGGAGACCCTGACCCCAAATTTTTCCCTACTATAGACATGGACAAATATCAAGAATGGTTACTCAATGCGGATAGTGGATTTCCCCATGAAGTTACCATCAAGGACAGGACTCTACGGGACATCCTTGAGTACCTAGTACCATACATTGGAGCCGACCAAGCCATCTCCGGCCTGTCAAACGATACTGTGAAATATAGTGGAGGAACGTCTCATGTCGTTGCTTTGGACAACGATGGCTTAGCCATATCGCTTACGACCAGCGTCGGCGAATGGTTTGGAAGCAGAGTCATGGATCCTACCACTGGGATTATTTTTGGTGATGACATGTCTGACTTTCAGCGCAAGAAGCACCCGGAAAATCCACTAGAGTTTGCAAATAACCATATCCAAGGAGGTAAAAGGCCTCTTTCCGGAATGTCGCCTACCATCGTTACAAATAAGCAGGGCGAAGTGTATTTTGTTACCGGATCTGCTGGTGGGACGCGAATTCCCACTGCTACCTTACAAACAATAGTCAATGTTATCGATAGGGGGATGTCAGCTGGAGACGCTATTAGCTCACCACGTTTGCATGATCAGCTCAATCCGAATGTCACGGAGTTTGATCTATCGCTAACAAACGACAAGAGGATGTACGACAAACAAATCGTGAGAGACATGCGAGACAGAGATCATCCATTTACGTGGGTTGAGCCGGGATTCTCTTCGGCCCAGGCTATCAGACGGGTATCTGGAACGGCCCCTGAAGCATCTGGAGAGGAGTGGCAGAGTGATTCGGGGGGATGTATTTGGTGGGATGGAGTCAAAGATTGTAAGTTCAAGTCCAGCTAACTAGGTATTTAGATACATAGTTGGTACCTACTGAAAAATGGAACCCATAACAATGATACTACTTTTCAGTTAAACGTGAAATACTCCACCATTGTCGCTATCGACTATTAGGCTGCTCTACATTATAAAACTGGGTTAACTCGTCTTGAGGAACACCGGGCAAGCCCCTACCTGTCACATGGTACCTAAAAGGCGTCACAGATGGGGCTACTCAAACGTGGAAGTATGGAGTACATATTTCCCCTATACCAGCAAATGATATTGTTATTCAGGCCGCAGGATGCATGGATAAATCAAGCTCAAGACTTCCGATCTGATGGAGGTCAGCACCCCAGTTTGCACCTGGTAGTATATCGTACACAGAAAGAAAGGAAAGGAGACTGGAGCATCTGATAATCTCCCTGGCTTGTACACAATTGATGTTAAGTGTGAGCATGTCTTTGTTGGATATTCGTCTTGTTGGCGTGGTTCTTCCTGGGGGCGCCTTTGACGGGAGCGCCTTTCAGTAGCATCTTTTTGCGTAGCTGTAACGGCTCGGCCTTTGCAGCGTAACGGTTTTGCGAAAGGTGAAGTCTAGATCAAAATTAACGAAAGTGGTGAAGTCAGTGTGGGGTGTGGGCATGGCTCGCATACCCGTTCGTCCTTTATGTTGTTATTGTTGTGTCGAACCTCTGGGCCAAAAAGCGAAGACCCCTAATTGGCTGCAGAGAGAGTCGTTAGTTATCATTGACATCTTGAGACAGGATGCGGGCTGCAGGTAACCAGTTAAAGCAACACCTCTTCTACCAGCAACACCAGTGGCCGGCATAGGAACTTATGAAGAAGGAACGCGGACATTCGAGCCTGTAATGACTTTGATGTCGTTGAAAATGTCTTCCCAGCCGATGAAAAGGCCCCATCCAAGATCCTGAATTAGCGGCGTGAAATAACCACCACGACTAATAGAACTTGCAGCATTCCTTCCCAGCCGATTCTCATTGACTTCAATCAAAGCCCAGTCCAAGAAATGCTCTTGGTTGGTAGCTCGGAATCTAGATGCTCCGAAGAGCTTTCAGTTCGCCTCTTTCTTGTAAGGGTGAACTTGCTGATGACGAGTACGAAGTGTAAGCATCAGCGAAACAGACTTCTTTTGATAATAACTGACGAGAAAACGACATGTCTGTAGACAAGTTAGTACACCGGAAAGCAATAGTCTGCTTGGATAGCTTGTTGTAGATTGACAGGTGAAATGGGTAGCTTGTGGCAGCCTCGGAGATAATTTGGAGCCAGGGAGCAGAGAAGCAGAGATGTGCGAAAACGGTGTTGATAAGGCAGATCGAATTCAAAAATCTTAAAGTTATATAGTTGAGTTAACAGTCGATCACGTCATACCAACTTCACTGCTATGTGTGATTCACTCTTTCTCCCTAGTAATCCAAACACACACCCTATTGAATTACGTAAATAGTTAATAGTGCTACTGTCACCATCCCGGAGAATCCCTGCTGTTTTATATGTACAATACATTGATTGGAAACCCAAGCGTCAATTTTCCAATACCTTGGTTTGATCGAGTTAAGGTCTGTACGTGCTACAGTCAGGCACTTTCCGAAACTTCCAACGGCATCATGTAAACACCGGTCCATGTCCGGCAACTGGTATCTTTCGAGCGGCATGGAGTCAACATTTCAGCCAAACAGCAGATTTGGTTATAAAGGCAGTTAAGTTTTTGAGTTTCGGGTCCGCCAACCTTGCATAAACGCCCGGTCTTGGCAAAGCTTAACTTCTTAGCTTCGACCAAGATACTCCGATCATTACACATACTCCGCTCTAGCCTTAGTATTATCTTCTTGATCTCGCTATTTTATGTATTGAACATTATGATATAGGGAAGTGGAAACTTCTTATTTTGTTATGTGGCTCGTAGAAATACCTACAAAGAGAGCGTTAAGAAAAGAGGGTTAGCATTAAGTCTCCGCTTATATAAGTTATAGACCATAAACGTATCGGTTAGAAAGGGGCCCATTTCTGTGTGTTCTGGACTACTATATACTGTGCCTTTTTATTGGTAATAATCAACTAGAAACCAAGATCTTCCTCTGATTGATTCGAGACTTCCAGAGAAGTCTAGCCAACACCAAGACCAATTTTGGCTTAGTCATGATATTATCACGTGCATCTATGAAAGCGGAGCAGTGCACTACATAATACGGACTGGAAGATCAGAGCCTCCGATAACACATTTCTAAACTCTATTCTACCGTCAATGTCGCAACTCCGAGCTTTCGAGCTATTAAGACACCCTAAGACTTGAATATCACCACCCGAGAGATCGCCAGTCCTTTTACTCCTTATCCTACCTCGTCCTGCGTCCTGGAGTTGTGGTGCAATCACTCTTCGACCATCCGTGCTATACCAATTTTCCAAAACGCGTTCACGGCTAGTTTTGCGGTTTTAGGGATCGGGGATTAGCCCTTGGAGAGCCACCACGATGCTTGCGTCGGGTTCGTCACCCAGGCCTAAGCGCTCCCTAGAGCGCGATGAAGATGGCCGCTTGCGCTTCCAGGGCTGCTCCTCTATTCGCGAATTCGAGTTCTTAGGGAAACTGGGTGAAGGAACCTTCGGGTATTGTTCAAGCTTCTTACTGCTCTCAATCGCACACCTGCTAACATACTTCTTCCTTCTTGAAGTGAGGTTTACAAAGCAAGGTCCAAACGAGCCGGCTCGTTAGTCGCCTTAAAGAAAATATTAATGCACAATGAGAAAGACGGGGTGGGTTCAATCTGGGAATGCACCTGGCGCATTCACACTGGCTGACCCCAACATTGGCTTAGTTTCCAATCACTGCCCTACGAGAGATTAAACTCCTCAAGATACTATCACACCCGAACATCTTACAGCTTCAAGAAATGGCAGTGGAACGGAGCCGAGGTATGTTGCCTCTCGGGTGTTACTTTAGCCGCTGAATACCTGTCTGACCATTATAACAGGCGAAGGACGAAAGAAACCATCAATGTATATGGTAACACCATACATGGAGCATGACTTGTCTGGATTACTGGAGAATCCGGATGTCCATTTTTCTGAGCCTCAGATAAAGTGTTACATGATACAGCTTCTAAAAGGCCTTCAGTACTTGCATGAGGTACTTCTTCATTGTTCAACAGGACCATTGCTTATAAGCTAATGCGATACTCGAGAATCGAATATTACATCGGGATATGAAAGCCGCAAATTTATTGATAAATAATGCCGGCGTGCTTCAGATAGCGGATTTTGGTCTTGCCCGGCCCTATGACGAAGCGCCACCTGTTGCTGGTAAGGGAGGCGGAGAAGCAAAGAGAGAATATACGACGCTGGTTGTCACCCGCTGGTATCGGCCGCCGGAACTTCTTCTCCAATTACGTCGCTATACTACCGCGATTGACCTGTGGGGTGCTGGGTAACGTCAACCCTTCTTACCCCAATGTTCCCATTGTAGACCTACAGAATGCTAATTATCGAGACAGGTGTGTTTTCGGCGAAATGTTCAAGGGGAAGCCTATTCTCGCTGGAACTAGTGATCTTAATCAAGCACAGCTTATATTCAACCTTGTGGGCTCCCCCACGGAGGAAAACATGCCAGGGTGGAGTTCGCTACCAGGAGCAGAACCCATACGGTCTTTTGGCTTCAAGCGCCCAACACTTGCCACTGTTTTTCATGAGTAAGTCATCCGCAATATAAATATCACTTCTATCTATACAACATAGCTAATACATAGACTACAGACAAGGCCCTGTTGCAATATCTCTTCTAACAGAACTTCTGAGGCTCGATTGGCGCAAGAGAATAAATGCCATCGATGCTCTCAAGCATCCATATTTCACTACCCCTCCGCTGCCCGCTAGGCCGGGCGACCTTCCTTCATTTGAAGATTCTCATGAACTTGACAGAAGAAAGTTCCGAGGACAAAAGGCTGCATTGCCCCCTGCACCTGCTGGTGGATCAGTTGGGATGGGAGCTCATGGTGAATGGACCTCAGGCTCTTCTCGGGGAGCACCCACCACAGATCCAAAGAAAAGTCGCGTTCCACAAGCAGCTCGCTCTGGTTACGGGAATAACATGCACCCATCGTCCCGACCCCCTTATGACAGTCGCATGCCTGACCCAGTCCACGGCCACAAGCGAAAGGCCTCCGGTGAGCCTCACAGCCACCTTCCGGCATGGCAACGGGATGCAAACTTATCACCCAAGCCACCCGCGCCTGCTAACCCTCAATGGCAAACTGGTTCCCGTCGTGGTGGAGGCCCAGGCCAAGATAGCAGGCGTGATAGGCCCCCGATACCCCGAGGAGGTGGGGGTATAAGTGATAGTGGGCGAGATTCATATGTTCCCAATTACGTTGGCGGTGGTAACGACAGGTATCGATCGGGGGTTGATGGACCCATGCCTCCACGACGAGATAATATAGATCCGGCAGCAAGAGATCGATATTGGCGGCCAAGCCGAAGTCGAAGCCCAGAAATGAGAGACCGCAGTCGATCGGGAGATCCTGGTTCTTTATCCCATCATCTGTACAGGCGCTAATTCGCTCGTTTTCGGGTGGGCAGATCTACGTTTATAATTCACCCTTTATCAATTCCTGCACCAATGTTTTCCTCTACAGCTCAGAGGAATATGTCCGAATATCCGCCGTATTCAACCCATCATTTTCACTTTTTGTTATATTTTTCATTTATTGTGATATGGAAAGGCACTGTGCATCAGGCGAACTAGACAGGAGTTCTGCGAGCATATAGTGGACGAATCAAAGACTTTCAATATGTTTGTTGTATCGAGACATGGATTTCAGGCGCAATATGGACAGCCCATTTGTTTACAGCTTATTTAAATTAGTCCTTACTATAATTCGTGTGAGTGAACTTAACTTGCATTGCTATCCAGGAGGGCCTCACAGGCTTTAACTGGAGCTCTATAAATCCTGCTCAATTGAATAATAATTCCATGAATATGTCCCAGAGGTATGACTGTACAAACTAAAGCATCCGGGTGCTCTTGATAAACGGAATCTCTTGCTAGTGGTTTGAGGCGTCATTATACCACGCATCGCCATAGTATTGATAATGCATGGGGGCATAGGAACAAAATATCACTGCGGATCGATATACGGGTATTCCGGGGGAACTAGGTTGAACAATACTAAAGACAAATAGGGTAACTAATTGAGAGCCTGAATGTAAACGAAAATTTAACGATAGGCTTACGGCTGTCCCTTGCGTATCTAAAAAGATCCTAGAAGATTGACTGATGCAATGTAAATTTACTGGTCAAGGACCTAGGAGGAACTAGTATAGGGGGACTTGGATATGAGGGATTAGTTTACTGTTGTGCTCTCTTGGGACAGAGCAAGTATATAAGAGGGCATGTGGTTACTCATTTGTCAAGGGCTATTGTGAGACTTTGTATTTCTTGAAATAAGATTGGTATTCGTATTTACATCCGTAATATGCTTATTATTATTACCATTGTTCTCTTCCTCCCCCTTTTTGTTTCCCTAAGAATCTTTTCCAGTTTCTGCTGGAATTGTCAGGACTCCGTGCCCATATTCACCCGAGCGCCCGTGGCCCCTAGCCACAGCTATTAATCTAAGCCTCGAGGGTTACGCCTAAAAGCCGTACAGCAAGCCTGTCACGCCCGACACGACGGCATCCAAGGCTGCCAACAACCGGGACGATGGCAAGGATAGGACAGTCCCTGATAAGGCCACGGCTGATGTGAATGCCAAGAACAAGGACACTCCGAGGACGGCGCCAGACCAAACCACCACCGAGGCCTTGTTATACGTGTGGTGAAATGCACTGGCACTGCTTCTGTCCCTCTCGCAAGCCTGCCGCCATTAACTTGGCGGACCTTAACCGCCAGGCTACGCTTAACGCAATTATTGAGGCAGGGCAGGCCGCACAGCCCACCATAGAGGACGACGAAGGTGACGGAGCCTCTTCCCCTGATACGTTGTCGGAGGGAAACTAGATGGCGGCTCCGGCGTCAGGGCGCCACGAGATACAACCTGCACTGTGACCCCAGCAAATCACAAGTGACACTCATTTTTAACCGTCACTTCTGCAACAACGACCCCTTTTACGTTCTGTATCGATACTGGCGCTCGCTTCCGTATCACTTATATCCCAGCGCTGTCTGCTAGACTCTTTAGCCTGTATTGGAGTTCCCGCTACCAGGTTTCGAAAAACCGATGTCCATATTCACCGGTAAGAGGGCCCGTGGCCCTTGTCCGCGGCTAATTTAACCAGGCCTCGAAAGCTACGCTTCTAAGCCTGTGCCGATGCTCCCGTCGGGCTAGAGAGCGGGAGTCTTCTTCCCTCTCCGCCTGGTCCAGCTCTATAAAGCTGTGCCATTTTATTTTTTATTTTATTTTATTTTATTTTTGGCGT